CCCCAGAGACCCCGCCCCTCCCAGAGCTGCAGGGCTGAGGGGTCCCTGGGGCCCCCCAGGGCTCTGTGGGGCCCTGCCCTGGGCTCTGTAGGGTCTGCAGCAGTTTATAGGATCCATAGGGCTCTATGGGGTCCGTAGGGCCCTCCGTGGGTCTGTAGGTTCTGTAGGGCTTTTCACTGCTCCATAGCACCCATAGGGTCATCCCCAGGGCTCTATAGGGTCCTTAGACCTCCCCAGGGCTCTATAGCACCCATAGGGCCGTTCCCAGGGCTCTATAGGGTCCATATGGCCCCCCAGGGCTCTATAGGGTCCACAGGATCCATCCCTCCCCGGTCTCTATAGGGTCCATAGGACCTCCCATGGCTCTGTGGGATCCATAGGGCCCTTCCTTGGGCTCTGTAGGGTCTGTAGGTCCCCCCAGGGCTCTGTAGGGTCCATAGGGCCCCCCATGGCTCTGTAGGATCCATAGAGATCTATAGGCTCCGTGTGGCCCCCCCGTGGCTCTATAGGGTCCATAGGGCTCCACAGCCCCCCCCATGGCTCTGTGGCTCCCCCATGACTCCATAGGGCCCCCCAGGGCTCTATAGGATCTGTAGGGCCCCCCAGGGCTCTGTAGGGTCCATATGGCCCCGCAGGGCTCTGTAGGGTCCATAGGACTCCATAGGCCCCCCCAGGGCTCTATAGGATCCCCCCCCAGAGCTCTGTAGGGTCCCCCCAGGGCTCTATAGGGTCTGTAGGTCCCTCCAGGGCTCTGTAGGGTCCACATGGCTCCCCATGGCTCTGTAGCCCCCCGCCATGGCTCTATAGGTTCCATATTGCCCCTGGTGGCTCTATAGGGTCCATAGGGCTCCATAGGCCCCCCCAGGGCTCCATAGGGACCCCCATGGCTCTATAGGGCCCCCCCAGGGCTCCATAGGGTCCATAGGGCTCTGTAGGGTCCCCCCAGAGCTCTGTCGGTCCCCCCATGGCTCTATGGGACCCCCCAGGGCTCTGTAGGGCCCCTATGGCTCCATGGGGTCTG